TATCAGAGATAACGCCGTTTTTTGTTGTCATTTGAGCACCGCTCAAAAAGTCAGTGTTCATCCGTTATTTACTCAACCTCCCCGTCGTTTCATCATTCTTACTCGTTATCTTTTTTCTCTCCTTTGTCATACAATAACCTCACCTGGAAAGGCTATTCTATCATTCTGAACTTATGTATATGATGTTCCATCTCCTCGCCTAGTCTAGGTAGTGAATGTCCCGCCTCTTCTGGTGCCTCTGTTCCCGCAGCTCAGTGGAAACATGCCAGACTTCACGATTATCTAGAAACAAATTTCCAGGCTAGTGATACTTTGGAGGTTATCTGATCGTGTGGCATGTGAGTGAATCTGAAAATCACCTAAGAGTTAGTGCGTTAAGTTATTATTGCTATCTGATTAAGAGCATCTAGACCATTCTAGTAAAATATTTGCGAATTCAATTGTTTGCGATGACAAAATTGGACGTTGAAAGTAATGGGGTACCAATAATTGTGCATACCAAAAATTGTGATACGAAAAATTGCATACGCCAAGACATGTGACATCAAGAAACGCGCATGGAAAGAATAATTGCTCACGTTGATAATAATATACACCGAAAGGTTTAAAACATCCCAAAAGCTACTTAAAAGCCCGTGCACGAAATTAAGCGAACAATAAGTTTTGGGTTGGGAAGATTTATTGTAACGGACAAATTTGCGTACGGAATTTTGCATTCGCAACGATTAAGGTTGTGTACAACCAAGTTTTGTTCTGAAGCCTGTCCAGAGTCTACACAGCTTGCAGTACGCAGGCAGCTGTGGCTCCGCCGATCCGTGAATCGCATTCCTCTCAGAACCTTAGAATTATCCAGTAACCTCTTGCTCTTGCTCAACCCGCTTGTGACCGTTGCTACCGTCACGCTTTTGCCACGCTTCAACCTTTACTACTTTTGTACACGCCGTGACAGCGTGCGTGGCGTGCCTAATAAAAAAAAAACACTGTTCTCCTTTGTCCCGGGTAGAGACGAGTGCTGAATGGAAGCGGTGGTCGATTGTGACTCCGGGCTGGACTGCAGCATAGATCCGGGGGTCTGGTCTAGTCTAAAGCCTGCATTGGTGATGTGCGAACACGAAGCGTGAGCAACAGCTGTCGCCGTCTGGACATGCACGCACTCCGGAGACCGGCGCGTGTGCGGCAGGTTTGCCTGCTTGGTGGACAGGCAGCGCAAACCGAAGAAAGCCTGACTCTCCAGCGCGGCGACGCCAGAGGGCGGTGCTGACCGGAGTGCGCTGTCGGCCGCGGGCGGCCCGGCGACCCCCGGCCGCCGGTGGCCAGGTTCGGACCGCGTTATCTGGGGGAGGCGCGCGCGCCCGGCCGCCGCCGGCCGCCAGTGCGGCGTTCCCGGCCAGCCGTCTCGGGTGTCGACATCGGATCCCCTCCAGCGCCAGCGGTGAGGCTTCGTCGGGCCGCCCTGGCGGCGGCGGAGGCCGTGGCGGGACCGGCTCGCGCGAGCGCCGACCCTCGCAGACCGGCGCTGCCGATGCACCGGGAGGGCACTCGTGGGGTTTGGGCCGCCAGAGCGCTTCCAGTCTTACCCTTATCGTGACAGGGAAATTCTGTGATCTCAGGAGACGCTGTCAACACCAAGGAACACAGAACAGTGGCAATATTGTCGTCCTGCTCCTCTGGTATTGGCTTAGGGCACCTTGACGCTACGACATTTATTGTTTTTAACGAGCTTCGCACACCGCTCTGGAAGGAGTCATGTCAAATGCGGTGTTAATTATAGACGAAAATAAGGATTTGCATGTAAAAGCTCACTCAAGAAGTGCATGTCATTTCGTTTTGCAGCTTTGCTCATTAAAGTACACTCGCCATTAAACGATGGCACTGAGGTTCTAATATCATATCGAGACTCTCAATTGATCTGGCTTTTATCCTGCCTTTTCACCAGTTGCGCATCGTTCTTTGTTTGTATTGCCAGGTGTGGGACGGTTAAAAAAGGACTGCCTCCTCAAAATGTGTACGAAGCCTGTGAGTCTGGAGATATATTTTGCATACCTCCAGGCTTGGCGGACGCCACCCCGCCCTTGTCCTGGCGTACGGACGGCATCTCCCCCTATGCTCCCAACGTTTTGGAGAATAAGCTACAAACTTCACTAAATGCATGAGGCCCCATGAGCTAACGATAATGCTTCGTCGCGATGTTTGATTATGAACACGCAGGCTTCAAGGCTGCGTGGCCTTCGGCGCAATGCCTGAGTTGGAAGAACCAGTTGCTACATCTGTCTTTTTTTTTTGGGGGGGGGGGGGCGGGGGTTCTGAAGATTTTCTTTGTAAGCTAGGTCTTGTTGTCGAGCATCTGCACTGCGTCCTTGGGGACTTCCAATTTGAGGAGGCACGTGTCAGCGATTGCAAACAGTTTTTTTCTTCATTTGGCAAATGTCAAATGAAAAGACTAAGACATTTCATATTTTGCTGAGCAACATTGGACCCAAGTGTATATTTCGAGAGTGTGTATGTGGCAAGTCTTTTCTTCAACAAGCACCTAATGAAAATAAATCACATGGCACGTTCTACCCTGAAGTCGCACAATTTTCGTGTGGATTTTGCTTTCCCACGTGGATATTGATGCGCATGGAAGGGCAGTATGAGCGTTATAATGTTTGGCAGTGTCCTTCGGAAAAAGGCTCATTTTGACTGTCACGTTTGTAATAATGACAATTTAAAGCTCCACCTTTGTCTGCTCGCTCTCCTAGTTTTTTGGTTTTATTATGAGCGTATTCAATGTGTTTAATGATCGCTCCATTTCGTGACCTGAGATACTCATCCACAAGTCCCCCCCCCTCCCCAAGCCCGTGGCGCCTCCCCTGCACATAAGTGTAGGGGAGGCGCCAATAACATGTATTTGACTATGTATTATATATGGATACATATATATATATATATATATATATATATATATATATATGTATGTATATATGTACATATATAGATAGATAGATAGATAGATAGATAGATAGATATATATATATATATATATATATATATATATATATGTATATATAGGGAATATATACATATATATGCACACGTACATATATATATATATATATATGTATATATGCATTTATTTGTGCCTTGGAGACAGCTGTGAGATGCTGGAGTGCTGCGATATGACAGGAGTGCACCGAAAACAGACCCGCCGCATGACGTCAGTGCCGCAGCTGACTGCTCCCAGAACACGGCGGTGTTTTCCCCGGCCGTCAGCCACTAATGGTGGGGACTGTTCCTCCCGTCATGAACGGTCCGCCGAAACTGTGAGGCCAGGATGGCTTTCCGAACTGTGTTACGCCCAGGACAAGCATGTCCAGGCTTGGTCCCTGGTGGGACGAGCCTGTCCGGGCTTCGTTCCTGTTAGGACAAGCCTGTCCAGGCTTCATTCCTGTTAGGATAGGTCTGTCCAGGCCTTATCCTTGTTAGGACAACTGCCTTCAGGCTACGTTCTGGTGAGCACAGCTCTGTCCAGGCCGTCCTAGTCAGAACAGCTGTTTCCAGACTGCGCCTGGTTAATGCGACGTTTGTTTTTGGAGGTTTTGCAACTACCACAGTCATTTTGCGCTTACGCCTCTGATCCTTATATCCTTATACATTCAGCACATGCGTGGATCACGCGCTACCCATAGGAACTGTTGTGTTATGGGGAGTTTAGAGGACTTTCGCTCCCTTCCTATTAACATTTGGGAAAATCTTCCCTTGACTTTCGGTGCTGCATGCAATGTGTTACAAATCAGAGTTTGCAATTATACAAAAGTGAACTGTATTCAAGTAACTTACATTTGGGACTACAACATATTTCACTGCCAAGAACGCGTGCAAGTATTTTATCTCGCTCTCAGCGCGATGGTTGGCACACGGGTACCTCCTATGAGGTCAATAAGCGACAGCAATAAAAAGTCAGTGACCGACACAACAGATCGGAAGGCCCAAGGTGTTTTCGGGCCCCTCGCCCCCCTCCCGTACCCTCAATCCTGAGCAAATATCTTGCTCCTCCTAGGCCGCCGGCTATCGCCATGACAGACAACGGCGCTGTGCTCTGATGACATCAGCGCCCAGCCTGCGATTCGTGGAAGTTCGGGCCATTCATTATCACGTACTATGAGACGGGCGAGTATGTGATTGCAAAACTGATGTCCTTCGTAATGTCCAAAAACTTTCCATGTCAAATGGATGCGTCCTCGCCAATGGGGGGGGGGAAGGGGGGGGGGGGCGCAGGGACAGTTCGCGCCGTGTTCCACGGTCAAGGCAGCACCGACGTCCAACTGCAGGGTAGCGACCCTGGGGAGCACGTGTGCAACTGATAATGGGTGATGTCAGCAAGAACCTTGAAGCTCGACCTCTGAACAGAAGGAAACCCTGTGCGCCGTACGTGTGGCCGATAACGAGGCGACTGAGATTGACTCAGCACTCATTCCGGCTTGTGCCCCAGCTGAAGCAGCCCGGTCCAGACTGCGCGTATCACGTCTTAGATCCAGTCCCGCATTGTCTCTGAAAGCGAGGACCGAATGTCATGAACTGGACCAAAACGACGAATCGCGCTGGACGCTGCAGCCGCCAGCTGTCAGCTGGTACAGCTGGTACCCCGCTGCAGCCGCCAGCTGTCAGCTGGTACAGCTGGTACCCCGCTGCAGCCGTCAGCTGCCATCGGGGTACGGAGACCCTGGCCGCGGGCGTCCAACGCTGCGCCCCTGATCGGGCCAGATCCAGGTGCCAGGTGCCAGTCGCTGTCCCGACCGGATTTCTCCTCCGGTCGGCCGGGGGACAGAGCCGCGGCGAGCGGGCGGCCGGCGCCGGGCCTCCCGTCAGCTGGCTGCGCTTAGCCCGGCGCCGCACGGCGAGCCGGGCCGCCGGGCTGGCGTGGCGCTACCGGCGGCGGCCCTGGCCGCTCACCAGTTTTTCGTGCTTGTTTTGGGCGGCGGGCGGCGGCGCTGCGAGCAGCTCGGGCAGTCGTGAGCGCGGCGGCGGGCGGCCGCAGTGAGCACCTGCTGCGACCCTCGGGGCTCCGGCGCAGGGAAGATGGCGGGCGGCAAGCCCGGCGGTGAGTGATCTCCTGGGCGGGGATGCGAGACGCTCGGTGACGGCAGAGTGGCCTCATAGGCTGCGTTGCGAGGCGGTTAGTGAGGGCGATCATTCTGGAAGATGGCGGCAGCGCCAATTGATGCGCCTTCGACTCGCTGAGACCGCCTTGGGTCTCTTCCTGTGGCAGGTACAGCTGGCTGAATGCACAGCTCACCTTCGTCCCGTAGAGCAGATCAACGATCAGCACAGGCCACGCGCGTGCAGTTGCAGGCAGACGATGCATATCGCTAATATACCGCTCGTAGTTTCTATGTTCTGCGCCGACATTCTTTGTGCAACTCCGTTGCCCATCGTCGTGATTGGCAGTTGGGTAAGTCCAGACAGCGGCAGACGGCTCTCGAATGCCGGTATTTAAGATCGATTTTCTGGAATACTGAAAACAGCTGCGACCAAAACATGCATGTGTTTTGCAAGCGAGCACGCCCCACTGCCGCTTGGCGTTTGGTTAGCGTGACGTCATCGGCACGTCACCATTGACCCAAGGCGGAGCAGCAGGGCGGGGTCATGCTTCCACTTCGTATGAATTCCAGCAGTAACCCTATCGGTTATTAGTGAAAAGCCTTGAGTTTTAAACAGGCTGTGGCCCCACTTCTTGAGAGGTTGCCAGGCCCCGTGATGAGTGACGGATATCATTGCTGCAGGGCTGCCAGTCCGGCGATAAATTCCCAAGTTGGAGAATTTCTCAAACCAGTTGAGGACGAGTGAACATGCCAGTTGGCGATCGGTGGTCAAATGAATGTCATCGTTGCATACTGATTAAATATGGCTTGTGGTCTCGCGGTTTTCCTCTTAATATTTCACTAGACAAGAATATGTCGCTGGCTTTGCCTTCAGAGTGCATGCTTGCTGTCTTGCTACCTACTCTGAGCCCACTGTTCAGCACTGGAATTCCAGTTCAACCGATAGCTTTTCTTCCGACTTTTGTACCAGACGGGATTTACGAAGGGGTATTTTTTTTATGCCGCACAGCGCTAGCACACGGTCCCATAGTGTCATGATGACCCTCCCTGGGCAAATGCAAGCTGACCACATGTAATGGTTTGGGCCCCAACAGTTTGCTTTACTCATGTAATTGGGGATTCGAACTCGGTGCTGTGGAACTAGAGCTGAGGTTTCGAACCCGGTGCTGTGGGACTAGAGCTGACGACTCGAACCCGGTGCTGTGGGACTAGAGCTGAGGTTTCGAACCCGGTGCTGTGGGACTAGAGCTGACGACTCGAACCCGGTGCCGTGGGATTAGGGCCGAAGATTTGCAGCATTTTGGATTGGAATCATAGGGTAGTAGACTCGGATTCGACAGTCGAAAATATGATTCATGCACAGAAACCTCGAGCTCATACAACATGACAGGGAGAACGGGCGTCCCAGTCGGGTGCAGAAACCGACATATGCATATTGCATCTGGCTTATCCTAAAGAAATGTATTCATCTCGTCATTTTTTTATTCGGATCAGGTGCATCCGCATTCCATGTGGACATGGGGCTCTTAAGTAACTATGTCAGAATCAACAAAAACCTGCTTGTCAGTTGTAGAGAACGGGAAACACAGATAGAGGGTGAGCCGTGAAGATGAAGTCCATTTAATTGCCCGGCTCAGGGCAGAAGCTGACCCCGACAGTCGGGCAGTGTCAGGGCGGGGAGCTGACTCCGACAGCCCGGCAGTGTCAAGGACCGCTGTCCGGCGAAGCTGTGCAAGCTTTTTCGGGAATTTTTTTTCAAGGTCACCCAGGCATCCATGACGCTATAACCATTCGTCATTCGCCATGACGTCATTCAGATTTTGCCAACCCAATAGCCATGGAGTGATCAAGGCCACGCAAAATATAATTGTTGAGTCGGTCATATCTGGTGATTGTGAGCGCGATTTCCAGATATAACGGCCGCCCATTGGCTCTCAATTTATGTTGTGAAAGGTACGATGACACCATCAAACAATGCCGCATCGAGGAGCAAATTTGCGAAATAGAGGAATCGTGTTTTCTAGAGCTGTCTTTTCCACTTGAAGGATGCTGATTATGAGTTATGAGTTTGTATTATGAGTATGAGTTATGAGTGAGCTTATTTCATCACACCTGATGTTTACTTTACTATCTTCAAATGTGGAACATTTCCTTTAAACGCCCACATATGCACGTCCCCGCGTACGAAAGCGTACACAGCTGTCATTTTAAACAGCCACTGAAGTAAAATAGCTCGAGCGGTTGGCGCTGGTGGCCTCTGGGCTGGTATCGCACCATCACTGTCACTGCTCGCTAACATGTACGCGGCTCTCACGGCTGGAGGTGGAGGAAGTGGCGCTTAAATAGTGAATTCATTATTTTAAACACGCTGAAGGCTGAGAATTAAGGTCCAGGATTGTTCAGATGTTTGAGAGACAGGAAAACATTGCTTTGCAGACGCGGGGCTCTACGACGTTTATTGCAGAGGTCTAAAAACTTGCTTATTGGGCAACACCAGTTGGGGCCATTCTGTGACGCTGCAAAAACCCCAAGAGTGTGAGTAGCATTGTCAAGAGCAAGTCCAGCATCGTGAGCTGCATCCTGTGAGTTTTCAACACAGGGGCGCGTTGAAAAAAGTTCTCTTTCCTCTCCGCGGGCGTGATCGAGCCGTGCCGTCGAGTGTTTGAGCGAATCCTCACCCAAACGAATTCGGTGCCCGGTTTCATTTTTCGGAGACAGCAATAACACGATATCACTTCCTACGAGGTCAGTTTAAAACAAATAACATTTAAAAGAGGAAATGGTTATCAAAATTTTTAACAGACCGTTATTGTGTAAATAAGGAAATGAACGGCCCACTTTTGTCACGATGTTGCACACAGCTAGATGAAAAGCGTCAAATATGGCAGTGGACGTCACAATAGTCTCCCGCGAACCTTAGCTCTTGCTCACAACGCGCTCATCCTTAAACCAGATGTGCGTGCGTGCGTGAGGTATGCGCGCCATTGCGCAGCGGGCTTCGTCGGGAGTCGGAGCGCTTGGCGAGGGATATCAGAATGGTAGATAAAAGATCCTGTCCACCCGTGCTTGTTTGTCCATTGATGGGCATGGACAGGATGGATGGATGGTGAAACCAATTGTCGGGAAGGTTAGAAAACCCTCCCAGTAGAAAACAGCTTTTAGGTACTGTGTATGGAATATAACTCAACCATAAACATTCCAAAAGTTAACCTTGAGAGCCTGTTGTCTTGAATGGGCTGTGGAGACAGACTGCGGACCCAAAAAGGAAGCTGGGAGACAGTCCAGTGTACTTTTCGACCTCGTGTTTATTGCATGTTCTGTGTACATGCCTCTCCATTGAAAATATGTATCTTCCCCACCAGCGAGGCCGTGGATCTCCGACGAGGCCGTCCATTCCCAATGAACATCTGACTGTGGCGTCTTCCTCCCCCAATGAAGGCCCAGCCGTGCCTCTCCCTGGTGGGGTGCGCATCAGTGCCCCCCCCCCCTCCCCAGCGAGCGTCTGATGCTGCCATCCCTCTCCGGCGAGCGTGTGTGACTCCGTCTCTCTCGGCAGCCTCGGCGTTGTGGTACGTGCCGGGCTTCATGATGCGGATCCGGGGATGGAAGCTGGCCTACGGCGTGGGCCACTTCCTCAACGACATCTGCGCCACCGTCTGGTTCTCCTATACGCTGCTGTTCTTCCAGCGGGTCCTGTGCTTCCCCAGCAGCCTGGCCGGCATCATCGTCCTCACCGGACAGGTCAGGGGTCACCGACCATAGGTCACCGGTCACAGGTCACTGTTCACAAGCCCCAGGTCCACCAGTCACAAGTCCTAGGTTCACCGGTCACAAGTCTCAGGTCATCGGTTCACAAGTCCCAGTCACCGGTCACAAGTCCTAGATCACGGGGCACGAGTTCCCAGGGTCCACCGGGTCACAAGTCCCAGGTCACCGGTCACAGTCCTAGATCACGGGGCACGAGTCCCAGGTCACCGGTCACAAGTCCCAGGTCACCGGTCACAAGTCCTAGATCACGGGGCACGAGTCCCAGGTCATCGGTCACAAGTCCCAGGTCACCGGTCACAAGTCCTAGATCACGGGGCACGAGTCCCAGGTCAACCGGTCACAAGTCCCAGGTCACCGGTCACAGTCCTAGATCACGGGCACGAGTCCCAGGTCACCGGTCACAAGTCCCAGGTCACCGGTCACAAGTCCTAGATCACGGGGCACGAGTCCAGGTCACCGGTCACAGTCCCAGGTCACCGGTCCACAAGTCCTAGATCACGGGGCACGAGTCCCAGGTCACCGGTCACAAGTCCCAGGTCACCGGTCAACAAGTCCTAGATCACGGGGCACGAGTCCCAGGTCACCGGTCACAAGTTCCCCAGGTCACGGTCACAAGTCCTAGATCACGGGGCACGAGTCCCAGGTCACCGGTCACAAGTCCCAGGTCACCGGTCACAAGTCCTAGATCACGGGGCACGAGTCCCAGGTCAACGGTCACAAGTCCCAGGTCACCGGTCACAAGTCCTAGATCACGGGGCACGAGTCCCAGGTCACCGTCACAAGTCCCAGGTCACCGGTCATAAGTCCATGCTCACCAGTCATATATCTCGGGTCCACGGTCACACAAGTCTTCAGGTCACCGATCACTAGTCACAGGTCACCAGTCACAGGCCATAAGTTACAGGTTACAGGCCGCCGACCACGGGTCACTGGGTCACCGGCCATCGGTGGCGTCGCGGTGAGGTGGGGTCCGTAGGCTGAGGGAGCGCGTGACGCTCATCATCGTCATCAATCATCATCGACACTCACGTGAACGAGTCTTTACCAGACGTTCACTGGCTGTTGACATTGGCTGTACGCCGCAGGCCGGCTTGCCCATTGGAACTGGGTGGTGATGATTGAGTTTTCAGGCTCGCCGACTGCGGTGGTCCGTTTTCGTGATATAAGCAGGCGCGTGGTTAAGCTAGTGTTTCTTCAGCATTATGTTTTTGGAGTTGTCCTGGCAATGATCGCTCCTCCAATGTGGTGCTGTATGTGGTACTGCAGGCGCTGTCCTGTGGTGTATCCTGTGTCACCCGTCTGTGCGCGTACCTGGTCCGACCGACCCGCGTACCCTGTTTGACCAGTTTGACCGTTCCCTGTATGCCGTCCGACCCACCTGCATGTCATGTCCCACCCAGGCTGTATGTCCGGTCTGAATCGTCGATCCGCCTGAGCCGTCTGACCTGCCTGACCCTCGACCCGTGAGAGAGTGAGGGGAAAGAGCGAGGGAAGAGAGGGGGGAGAGAGAGGGTGAAAGAGAGATAGAGAGGTGTAGGATGAAGAGAGAGGAGACAAGAGAGAGGAGAGAGAGAGAGAGAGAGAGAGAGAGAGAGAGCCAAGAGAGAGAGAGAGAGAGAGAGAAGAGAGGACGAGAGAAGAGAGAGAGCTAGACGTATGGCGAGAGAGACGATAGAGAGAGAGCAGAGAGAGATAAGAGCATTGAGAAAGGAAGAGACTCGAGAGAGATAGAGACTCAGACAGAGAGAGAGACGGTATCATTTTTAAAACATGGTATATTTTTTGGAAACCGCCTGACCCGCGCCCGCGTCCGCTGCGCCGCAGTGGCCGACTGCATCTCCACGGTGTTTGTGGGGCTCATGGCCGACAAGGAGATTCAGTGGGCCATCTGCAGATACGGAAAACGGAAAGTCTGGCACATTATCGGTACGTGGCCGCCCCGCTGCGCTCCTGGGAATGATCGGCTCTTGTCTCGGTGCCACGCACACGCACGCGCGCGCGTTATCGGCGGGTATTGGAGAATGCTGGTGCGCGGATTCGGGCCTAGTGTTGTGACAACTCGGGCTGTTATGAAATGCTGGGTGTGATATGCGTGTGCCATGGCGTACGACGTCTCTTATTTACCTACGTGGTGGCGTCTCGTTAATCTGGCCAAGCAGGAATAAATTCCGCCCACGAAGTACAGCAGTGTACCTGCCGTAGAGATAATGACCAAAGGCATATGTTGGACAGCTTGGATCTCTGCATCCTAATCAGAGATCTAAGCACCGGCCTGGGTCGGATTCACTGACAGGGGGCGGTCCAACTTTATGTTGGTAGAACCAGGTTTTCCTATGTGGCTCGTTGCGCATAAGTTGGATACCATTGCGCCGACAAAAGCACTTAGAGGCCTTTCGCAATGTTCAAAGCGTCTTCTGTGTAATACTCGACACCCGGTGTTGCCCGATGGTGCCCGGATGGTTGTATGAAGGGGGTCTCATGTGCGCCTACTACAGCTGATTGTGTCCACCGACTCCTCCAGGTACCGTGTGCGTCATCTGCACCTTTCCCCTCATCTTCAACAAGTGCATGGGCTGCGACGACTCGCCCAAGCTGGTGCAGCTGTGGTACTTCGTGGCGTTCGTGGTGGTGTTCCAGTTCGGCTGGGCGTCTGTGCAGATCTCGCATCTCTCGCTTATTCCATCGCTCACGACCAACCAGCGCGAGCGGACCGAGCTCAACGCGCTGAGGTAAGAGGGGCGACCTGGCGCCCCCCCCCCCCCCTGCCACCCCTCTGACTCCCTGTGGCGGCCGCTTGGTGGGGTTGAACGACCTGAGCACACTGTCATGTGACATTTTTAGTGTTCTAGGCCGTTCTCAATGTGAAAAAGTCCATTTAAGCCAAATCATTCGCCCAGAATTAGGACAGTGCCTGTCAACCACATCCACAGTACAGTGTGTGTTTACTACAAAACCGTGTCCAAACACGGCCGTCATGGCTGCCTTGCGTGCCAGACTCGCAGCCCACGCACCAGATATCCCAGAAAGCACACGCTGCATCTCCAGGAGCGTAGCCACAACCGGGTCGGGCCGCGGCGGTCGCTCTCCGCACTGTGCGTCGGGCAGTTCTTCGACAGACTCGGAGGACGCTCGGCGGGCCCCACTACGCCCCGGCAGTCCCGCCAGGCTGGTCACTGGCATGAGCCAAGCGCTCCGCTCAACGTTGCAAGTCACTCGGTTATGCCATGCCCACCGTCTGCAATTTTTATCTCAGTTGGGCCAAGTGGAATCCTGATTGTCCAATTCACACCCTTGTCGTAGGAAATCCCGGGCAAACCTACCGTGACTTGCTCGAGATACGGGTGCGTGTGTCACACAGGAGGGCATATCACCGCATATCATCACCCACCCCAGGGCATCGAGTGCTATGTGGCCTCACCCTTTTAATCCACCGCGTGCATGCGTCCTTGAACCGACAAAAAAACGCCGGCGAGTGGCCAGGAGTCCACCTCAAACACCATGACACTGAGAAGCTGCCCTTGCACGGTGTTGCGCAATAGGAGGGGCCTCGGCATTGGCGGCCAATCCGCGGTCTCTGTTCCGGCCGGGGCGCTCTGCCGGACCGGAGCCGCCTCGGTGGCGCCCTGTCAGACCAGAGCCACCTTGGTGGCGCCCTGTCGGATCGGAGCCGCCTTGGTGGCGCCCTATCGGACAGGAGCCGCCTCGGTGGCGCCCTGTTTGGTACTGGAGCCGCCTTGGTGGCGCCCTGTCGGACAGGAGCCGCCTCGGTGGCGCTCTGTTTGGTACTGGAGCCCCCTCGGTGGCTCTGCCGGACCGGAGCCACCTTGGTGGCGCCCTGTCGGACCGGAGCCGCCTCGGTGGCGCCCTGTCGGACCAGAGTCGCCTTGGTGGCGCCCTGTCGGACCGGAGCCGCTTCGGTGACGCCCTGCCGGACCGGAGCCACCTTGGTGGCGCTCTGCCGAACCAAAGTCACCTTCGGTGGGGCCCTGTCGGACCGGAGCCACCTTGGTGGCGCTCTGCCGGATCGGAGCCGCCTCGGTGACGCCCCGTCGGACCGGAGCCGCCTCGGTGGCGCAATGTTGGACTGGAGCCGCCTCGGTGGCATTCGGAGCAGCCGGCTGTTATTCCATATGATTGCGGAAAGCAGTACAGCACCTGCGCGGCACGACTGGCACCGTCGTCGTGCAGGGCTGGGAAGCAGGACTAGCGGCAGGGAGGCGGTTCCTTCCAAGCGGTGTCCTGGCCCCTCCGGCGCAATCTATCCGAGAGGTCCCAACGCTAGTGCGCACGGCGCTCCCGCACGTCCTCAGATAATCGAGAGCAGGCGGAATTTAATCAAAGTTATATTTGATGACAAAATGGATAGGAATGAGTTACCATTGATAATTGAATTGACAGGGATATTTGCAGCGGTGGGACCGCCCGGCTGCGGCGTCCACCGGCCGGCCGGTGTCCGTGTACGGGCGCGCACGTCTGCGAGGACTCCTTCTGGTGGGCTGCCTGGGCTCAGCTGACCGCTCTGTCGGCGCGGACAGCTGACTGTGCGGGGCTTGGTCCGGGCCCGGGCTGGGGCCCTTGTAGGCGCGGTCTGCAGCTGATGTTTTGACCGATGGAGGCTGACGTGTGACCTGGTCTGTGAGACACCTCCCCTCGAGGCTCGTGCGCGGTTTGATGCACTGTATGTGCCTAGTCGGTGTTCCTTGTGAGGGTGGCTGTGTACGTGAGGTACATTTTGCGTGAGGCTTGGTCTTTGCCTTCCCCCGACAGGAGGCTCATACCTCTGCTGACCGTAGGTTCGTCCCCTCTCCGTTCCTCGTGTCGCCCCCTCTCCGCGTCTTCCGCTGCCTAGCCTGACCTCCTGACCTCCCAACTTCCTCACCGCGCCGCAGGTACGGGTTCACGGTCACGGCCAACATCCTGGTGTACATCGTGGCCTGGGTAGTGCTCGGCACAGTGGCCGCGGACGACAGCGGCGGTGACGGTCCCAACAGCACCGGCAACGGCACCGCCCCCGCCAACGCCAGCTCGAAGGCCGGCAACAGCACCACCAGCTCCGGCATCGGGCCGAGCGACGCGCCCCATTTCAAGGTGAGCTCGCCCGCAGACGAGGACACTGGCTGGCTGAACGTCCTGCCTCGCCGAGGACGGGAGAGACTGTGTGTGCGTGCGAGCCTACGTCCGTGCGTGCGTGCGTGCGTGCGTGCGTGCGTGCGTGCGTGCGTGCGTGCGTGCGTGCTTGCGTGCGTGCGTGCGTGCGGTGTGGTGTGGTGTGGTGTGTGTGTCCTGCCGGCCGGTACGGTCAGTCACTGCGGCCGTAATTGCGCCAAAATGGTCGCGTATGCCACTGTGCCCCGAAACGCTAAACACAGATGACGGTCACTCCCACTGAGCTAGAGAAATACGATCCCATACCTCGTCCTCGTCCCTGCGGCTGACAGGAAGTATCGTATTGTGTAAACGTTTGATGTGATCGCGATCAAAACATGAACTGATGGCTACGACCGTTTCTGAACAAAATGGTAAGACGCTCGGAAAATATCCGAAAACAAGGCTCCAGAAAATTCCTCAATAAGGCTGTCCTCAGGAGATGGAGGAGTTGTAATCGACTGTGAGTAAGTGTCGTGTTTTGCATAAGAAAAGCCAGACAGGACGCCCGTTTGCCCTTCTGCTGTGACACGATCATGCCTCTCTTTCCTTCAACCGTGCGAAAGGCAAATAAATCATGGCAATGATGGCGCCCCTGGGCCCCCACTTCTGCCTGTCCGGCTCGCATCGGCGGCTCTCGAGCCGGGTGCTCGAGCGTTATCTGCGGAGCGCGGCGCGTCCGCCCCGCTCCCGGACCGAGAGCATGGCAGATTGGGCAGCCGTGACCCTGGCCAGTGAGGGCACCCGCGGAAGGCTTCAGGCGCTGCTGAGGGGCGTCGAGGGGAGGCCGCTGTCGGTGGTTGTCGCACTTCACTGTCGGCGGTTGTCGCACTTCACTGTCGTTCCAGCTGGTAGACGCATGATAATTACCGGTAGTTGTTGTTGGTGCTGTGCCTAACGCATGATAATTACCGGTAGTTGTTGTTGGTGCTGTGCCTAACGCAGGATTGTCTGTGTCAGGACTATCGACCTGAGAAGATTGAATTCACTTCCCATCCACGACGAGGAGTCGCTTTCTTACGTCTTCTCGTAGACGGCATAAAAATCAAAATATTGTTAATGTTCTTCAATCCAGTGCTACTGGGTGAATACCACCGGTTGCTCTCCAGAAATGGGCGTCCATTTTAAAAACGTCACGTTGTGAGTGGAGAGGGAAGCATTTGGCCGTTTGACCTACCAGCATAGATAAAAGTTTCAGTTTTGTGTGAGACGTTTGCCTTCTGTGTGCGTCATGACGTCACTTGCAATGGTGTCGAATCGAGATGGGCCGATGAGATGGAGCCGGTTTCCACTTCATCATGCACCCCTGGAATCCTTGCTGCTGGCAAGCCATTGCCGAACAGTCTCTGCCTAGTCCTAAGTGCACATAGGTGCGGCTGGGGCTGGCGAGGTGTCATGAGGCTGACGCTGTCCGAAACTAACGACGGTGAGCAGCTACTGTCAACGGACAGCGGTAGACACGCTCTCTTTGGACCCCAAGAGGACTTCAAGACGACTGTTGCCCCCGGGCGGCGCTGCCAGTGTTCGATGCCGCTTTTCGATTATTGTTGGAAGTTTTAAACTCTGTACCTGCGTTTTGAGCCGCGCCTGGCACAAAAATACTTCGAGGCGGTGACAAACTACACATTTCCGCCCTTCGCGCCTGACTGGTTGCCTGCCAACCTACTGGGTGGGGCCGCGGGGGCCCCCCCCCCCCCCCAGGCTGAGTGCTGAGATGAGTGTGTCTGCCTGACTAAGAGGACCGAACAAGTAAGCTCTTTGTATCAGTCCATGATATCGTGTTCGAGCGCCACGGCATTTGTCCTTCGTAACAGATTATTATGTCGCCGACTGAGGCGCGCCGGATGTGCCTCATGGCGTCATACCCGACGTAATCTGTTACGTAAGGTGGACCCAGCTAGCGCGTGCGAGCGCGCTGGGTCAGGGTGCAGGCAGACACCGACAGTAAGCCACCATAAGCCGCTATGGGCCGTAAAAGCCGCTCGCTCCCCTGAGTCAGGTGGCTGAAAAGGACGCTTGTCTGGAAGCTACACATATGTAGAGTGTGGGGAGCGGTATGAGTTGTAGTTTTTTGAAACGTGTGTTGTACATTGCAACGTTATGTTTTTGAAAAGACAATTTCGGTAGAGCATTACAATTGTCGTTACAAAATGTATCAATACAAGTGTAAAAGGCACTTGTAATCATCGTGGAATGAATGGGCCATTTGAAACCAGTAGTTCACGGAGAAGGCAATAGTGTCTCTCTAGTTATTACAGCCGTGTGAACAGAACTGTAGTTAATGTTCGCGTCATCGTCTCTTGACTATGTCACAGCGCACTTACATCATCCCACCGGCAACCGCGGCCGATAACGACGCGCGTGTGTTTGATCAGGATATATCTTGTGCGGTTGTGTGGTCAGGTTAGATCTCTAAACCGCAGCGTGTTCAGATTCCGCATTTTACAGCCCGCGGGTTGTGTTAGGGAGGGGATGGGGTTTGAATGTGACTGATTCACCCGGTTCGTCCGGTGACGCAGCCCGCCCTGTGGTGGGTGTTGGAGTGCGAAGTTGCACGGCCCGGTCTCGAGATCATCTACGGGTCAGCACCCACCGCCAGGTCACTCCCACGCTCCGTGATCCAGTGCTCCCCGGAGTGTGACGTCCCAGAAGATGTTGCACTTGAAGATGATGTATGATGTATGAAGATGATGTATGCGATACTCGCCCCCATTGTCCATTCCGCTGGGCGAGGCGGCAGTGTCGCTGCCGAGCATGGCCCCACACCGTGACCGTGCCGCCGCCCTGCTGACGCCGCCTCTCCGCCGCCAGCTGATCGTGCTGTCGACGATGGGGGTGGGCGTGGTGACGTCGCTGCTCTTCCACATCTTCACCAAGGAGCCGGCGTCGCCGGCGCTGGAGCCGGCGCCGACAGCGGGCGCCGGCTCCCTGGAGCCCCACCAGCGGCCCCACCCGTCCACCATCCGCGAGTGGCTGAGACGCACCGAGTTCTGGATGCTCAGCATCGTGTACATGAGCGTCCGGCTCTACGTGAACCTGTCCATGGTGAGTCGGCCTCGGTGCCATGGGCATCGGGCAGGGCGGCTAACTGGTGCGGGGGCTGCCCTCCCCCCCCCCCCACCGACAGCATCGGCAGGCTAAAAGATATGAATATCGTATTGGGGAGGGCAGGTGTTATTTTACGGTTAGTTGTGCGTTGCCAGGATGGAAGCTAAAATCGCATTCCCGCTGTTCGTGAAAAAAAATAGAATAGGTGTGTAAAATTTTGGGATCTGACGTTCGTACGGACGGATTCATTGTTCGGACTGATCGTCTTCATCCTCGTCAGTCTTGACTGTCCTCGTCCTCCTCATTGGTGTTACTCAGCTTTGTCGTCCTCGTCATGTTCTCATTTATTTTCGTCCCCGGCGTTGGTGTAACTGTTCACACGGCGTTTGCGTTGTGCGACGTGTGAACAAAACCATCAGCGACGAGTACAATCGCCTGAGCCCGTGTTTCATCTGCACGCGACAGAAGTTCGGTCGCCCCTGTCTCTGAAGTGATGACTCGACATTGGTGGAGGACGAGGGTTTCACTGTGTACCTAAGATGTGTTGTGTACCCTTTGAAGTGGCCAAGACTGGGTGGGTTATCCTGCAGTGGCTATCCTGTGTAGTACCTGGCCGACAGGGCTAGGGGCGCAGTCAAACACAATGGGAACCTTGCGGCGGGCAATTCGGATGTAGCCTTTCTCCGTTCTCCTGCCGATTGAGGTGGTCGTGCTTCTTTGAGCAGCATATAATATAACATAACATATAACATAATAAAACAGCATACAACATAACATATATATATATATATATATATATATATATATATATATATATATACCACAAAGCATCCACCTCTATGCCAACCAGAGGTCAGTTTTTTGCCCAAAACACTTTTTTGAGGTTGTCACTTTGGACGTCCCGGGAGTTAAATCACTGTAGGTCCTACGCAATGTTTCACGGTCGTTGTTGGATAGCGGAGCTACAAGTGTAGCATCACTGATTATTACCTCAGGTAAGTGCTTTGTTTTTGGAAGAGCGAACCTTTGTCGGGCAAAGCTCTGCACCTACACTGACGACCGCGTTGTTCTCCACCAGATGCATAACCCTGTGCTGTTTTCCACCAGACATACATAACTCTGTATCTGCACGACTACCTGAAGGCCCCGAAAACGTCGGTGGCTATCTTCCCGCTGATCATGTACATCGGCGGCTTCTTCGGTTCCGTGGGCATCAAGCTGCTGAACCACCAGCTGGGCAGACGGGTGAGACAGGCTCCCCTCAGCCCCTGGACCCCTTTTCAGCCTGCTTTAGCTCCATCCCCACCAGCTCCCCTCAGCCCCTGGGTCTCCTTCAACCCACAGCCACTTCACCCGCCAGCTCCCCTCAACCCCCTCGGCCCCCTCAACCCTCCTCGGGCCCCCTACCCCCATCTCCTTTCAGCCTTCGTAGCCCTCTTCAGTCCCCCCACTCCAGCGGTGTCTGTCAGGCAGGTGCGGGATGTCTGCTGAGAATGTTTCACGATAGCATGGCGTTGCTCGTGGTTTTGTTACCCTTTGGGCCGTTTTGGGTCTACGTGGAAGCCGGCGATGGCGTTGCTTTGTTCGTGGCGTTGGCATGCTCTCTAGTGAATCATTTTTGATGTCTTTATTTGCTTTCATCATTTTTGACGTGTTGTTTCGATCTCATCATCGTTGACGCGCTGTTTTGTATGGATTGGCCGCGAGCGTAGCGTAACCAGGGGCTAAAAAATCGTTGACTTACGCGGTGCGTGTGGAGGATATATTGTCAAGGATACTCAGGGTCTGTTAAAGCTGTCGAGCTTTCAGCGGCGGCACCAGCTACCCCTCAGCCGATGTCAGTCCCCCCCCCCCACGTCTTGCTCCACCTCCCTTATCCTTCACCCTCCTCCAACCCCGTTCGCACCTGTCCTCCGGCAGCCCCCTGCCCACATCAGTAACCTCCTTGCAGCTTCTCCGCGCCCGCGTCAGCTATGTCTGCAGTCTGCAGTCTTCTCTGCAGTCTCCCTCTGTGCGCACCTATCTCTCTGCGTCCCTCCCACCTCGCTTCGTCTGGCTCCAGCCTCACCGCTCGGCCGCCGTCGCCGGCAGATATCACTCGGCATCGGCGCCGTGCTGGGCATCATCGCCTGCGCCGGCATCTTCTTCGGCTCGGGCAGCGTATTCGAGCAGTACGTGGTGTACGGCATCGCCGTCATCCTCGGCATGGGCGGCAGCATCATGCTGGTGACGACGCTCGCCGCCACGTCGGACATCATCGGCACCAGCGTCAAGGGCGCCTTCGTCTACGGCGCGCTCAGCTTTTCCGACAAGCTCTCCAACGGCTTGGTGGTCGAGATCATTCAGAACATCATGTCTTGCACGGCGTGAGTGGACATTGGTGTTAACCGTTTCCGTTGCCGTCACTTGCTTCCTGTCCGTCCCTTGCATCTGACTGCCGGCGCGTTAGTTCGGCTGGTAACCTACCTGTGCTTGCCTGATCACCTATGACTGTCCCTGTGCCTCATTAGGCATAGTGTCAAGCAAGCTTTTGTCACCCGCGCACAATAAGCAACATGCAATGGTATGTGCGTTCTTCCGTCCCGGTACTCTGGTGTGTATTTCGCTGCTTGTGTGTCCCTGTGTCCCATTTCCTCCTCGTGCGGGCCATTTCCTGCATTTCCGAGTATGTTCCCTGCTTAATACGATATACTTCCTTGTGCCTAGTCCTGCTTTGCCTGTGATTTTTTTGTATAGCCTTCTCCTCCGTCTCCACTGAGCCACGTGTCGCCGCGCGTCTCTGTATGCTGTCCCCCTCCCTCCCCCCCCCCCCCCCCCCCCAGTTGGCGGATCCGTGCAGACACATGCTCTGACCCGTGCTGACCTCATGTTGACCGCGTGATGACCGCGCGCTAAGTCGTCCCTGGCCTCATGCCACGTCATATCGGCCCCGTGTGGACCCAATGCTAATCTCACACCAACCCCGTGCTGACCCCATGCTGACCCCGTGTTGACCCCACGCTGACCCTGGGTTGACCCCGCGCTGACCCGTCCCTTTGAACCCACGCCGACTCTCCGTTGCCGGCAGTGAGAACGAGGATGCGTGCGGCGAGCTGTACAAGTACGTGCTGGTGGTGATGTGCGGCGGCACCTCCGTCCTCGTGCTGCTCATCATCGTCTTCTACCGCTCGACGGCGCTCTGGCACCCACGCGAGGGTAAGCGTTCGGCCTTGCCCGAGCGGAGGACGGGCAACGGCCGCCCGCCCGAGCGAGGCATACCGTCCAGCCTTCCCGGGTCCGCGCTGGGGTGGTCAGTGTTGAGAACGTCCGCGTTTGTCTGCGCATGCGCCGTCTGGTAGCTACCGTTCGTGGCCGTGGTAGTGCATTAGGCCGGGTCGTCAAAGCATATTTTCAAAAGTCTGGCAGGAACTGAGTTCTGACTCGATGAGGTATCCTTGAAAAAGAATTTAAAGCTTTGATGCCCCTGAAGTTTCGCTGTGATGTCCGTTCAGATTCAAAATAACTTTTTCTTTCCATTTTTGTATTTTGTCTTAAAGTGGTGCCCTTCGTTTCCAGCGTTACAGCCGCACATTAAAACCAGTTTGCGTATGACTCAATATATTTACAATTTTATCATTCAGAACCACACAGATATGCTCTGACATGGATACGCCATGTTAACCTATGTGAGAGCCGCGTGTATACTTGCTCAATGCTTATAATGCAGTGATATACCTGAATATACCTTATACTGATATGCAGTAAATTAAGTTGTTTCACAACATTGTTTCCCTGGCATCAACCTGTAATGTACAGGGTGTATATATATATATATATATATATATATATATATATATATATATATATATATACTCGTTGTGAGTGGTATAATGGGTGCAGTGGGTCTAAAATTATCATTATCAATCAACAATACCTTATACCTCCGGTGAAAAAGGTATGATTCGGTCAGGTCAGTTCAAAACAACGTTACAAACTGTCGGCCGTGGTGGATATTTGACCCCGGCCCCGTTTCATGGTGATGCGCGCGGCTTCGGGGATGCAGGTCACTTGTGAGCCTGCCAGTTTGTGCTGCGAGCTGCCGTGATACCACTCAAAGCCTGGGTTGTCGTAAATGGCGGCACTGAGACGCCAGGAAATCATACGCCGCAAGCGATTCGGGATTTGGAGCCCATCCCATGTTTCCACACATGATAATGCATGACCGTATCCTGCTGCGGGCTCGTAATACATGTCATGAGCTCATTCAATTCAATCTCCAGGCCATCCCAGGATGCGCCAATTGTTTGCAACATCCACTGACTCCGTGCAGGGTGTAGAGTGTAGACATCTCACGCCCGATGACTCCATGTTTCTTTGTGGATTTCCATGTTTAAAGCTCACTGAGTTGCGAGCAGCGTCTGCAAGACGTGCGTATCTGGTCAACCTGGTTACCCGCAGGTTCTTATGTCGACCAGATACGCGCGGTATGTAGATGAAGTTCACAACCTAGTTGCCTTTTGTGAGCTTCATGTTTCCGCCTTGTCGGCTTTGTTGGGCCTCTGTGTTTTGTGTTTGTGTGTGTCTGCCACCTCTACCAGCATTAAGCGCGCGCGTTGTCTCCTTGATGTCGGTCTCCTTCCCCTGCCATGCGCGCGACCTCAGAATGACAGACCCATGGACGCCCAGCCGACTACCCGAGGACACCGGTACCTGAGAGGTCAACCATCCTTATGACATGTCCCGTTCCTTGTGCCGGGTCGTTACTCGTGTGCTGTTCCTTGTCCCGGGTCGTTACCCGTTTCCCGTCGCTTGTCCCGTGTCGTCGCCCGTATGCTGTTCCCTGTCCCGTGTCGCGACGCTTAGCTTCCGTGGCGTCTGTGGGTCGGGCGCGTGTCGGTGGGTGACCGGGCCGGCTGTCCCTCCCGCTAGATGACCCGCTGTTCGGCGGCGGCGACGACGACCGGCCGGCCTCCGAGCGGACGCGCCTCCTCGACAGCAGCAGCGGGTCCAGCAGCCCCTCCTCGCTGGTCTGCTGACCGCCGGCCGGCCGTTGGGTGTCTGCTGGGTCGCCGGGCGCCACCGCACGTAGAGCTCGTGCCGGGCCGCGCCCAGCGCCGCTGTGTCGGCGGCGCCGCCTCGCTGACCGAGGCGCGAGCTGGGGCTTCCCGGTGTGGTGTGACGCCTGAACTCGGTCCCGCTGAGCCGACTGGCCTCGGCCGGCGACTCGCTTCCCCACGGCAGGGCCGCTGCCGGCGCGCTGTGAGGGAGGCCCGTAAACTGTGATAACCTCGTCTTGTCCGGGTGCTACATTCCACAGACCGATTCGTCTGCGTAGCTATGTGCCAGAGTGGTGGATGGTGCCTGTACTTCCTAGCAGTGTGAATGGTGCCCGCCCTGTCGGTGTGGGTGGGCTGGAGCCGAACCGTTGTGTCGCGCTCGGTCGCTGTCGTCCGTCCCCGCAGAAGTGCGCCTTGCCGACCCCCACACCTACGTGGGCGCCACATCCCCGAGCCGGCCGCCAGGCAGCCGGGTATATGTTTATCCAGACTGTCGGGCCGGTTTTGTTCCCGGCTGACCATGAACCCTTAAGTCACTGTACCCTCGCAGGCGTCACCTCGGGCACCTTGTAACGGTGACGCCCTATTGTGTCGCCGATGGTGTTTTACCGCGCTCACCCTGCGTGTTTTACATTGACGCGGGCGCTGGCATGTTCCACGTGTTGTTGCCGTCTAAGTGCGTTTGGCTTTGTGTGCGGCAGGTTCGACTTTTGAATATCTGGTGTTTTTCATGTGATGACTTCTGATGCTTCCCATTAGAGGACGCGCTTTATAATGGCGTCAGAGGCGTGCCTGCCCGGTGTTAGTGGTTATTCGCCAACGGTAATGTATGGTCATGCCCAGTCACGATAGAGACCTGACGTTTGAGTTCATATAACACGGAATACATGGAATTTATGCGTCTGAGGTATTGTGAACGGCGCCCAACGACTGAGTTGTGGGTAGCACGCGTTAAATGTGCGAAGCTCGCCGCATTATGCACGTGAATATGAACCACAACGTCACGGTTAACTGGTCGTGTCATAAGACATTCGTGCCAAATTTTTGGCATAGGACGGGAATCGCAATATGTGTCTGATCGCCAGAGAGAAAACTCGGGGTAGACATAGAGAACCCGTCCTTTGAAAACCGAATCTGATCGCGGGGTAGACTGACGGCAGCGCTGTCATCAAGATATGTCTGTTATAAAGATAACGTCTGCCTCGCTTGTGGCAGCGCTGTGTGGGGGCCAGCTTCCTACTGGTGGCGGCTCCTGGCTGGGCTGCGCGGCCGCTGTGTGTGCTCTCTGCATGTGTGTGCGCGCACGCTGTGCTATCTCTGAAGTGGGGTGGCTCGGCGGCCGGGGTGCCAAGGCCGGCGGATGCCCCGGCTGTCGGCGGCGCGCGGCGTTAGTGGCGCCCATCTGGCGCCTCCCCGGGAGTTGAGCTCAGACGTATCAGTCTCGATGACCTCATGGCGTTGGGCCCCAAGCACTGTTTTTTTCAGCTTTGTTTTTTAATCCGCTTAGATTGGTGTTGTGCGATATCTGTGACCCTGGGGAACGTTTTCTTCGACGGACCACTTCATTCACATTGGTCAGTTCAGACCCACAAGTGGCTTTGGTTTTGTCGTTCGCGTTATCAAAACTGCGCACATCGCTAGTCTGTTTGATTCATTGTCCGCGCAGAGCATAAAGTATTAGTCATCACAGCGTGTCATGCATGTTTGTTCGTCCTGTGATTACAGCGATTACTTCTACGACGCATCAAACTGGGGCCCGGACACCTGTTCAGCAAAGTAATTGCTTGAAATCGGGTTTGCCTGGGTTTTTCGCTTGGGGTTTTAGCTAAGTCGACAAGTAACCGAATACGAGTATGCCGTGCCCCGATTCCATGCTTCTGGAGTGAGTCGTGTTTGCTAAACATTCCCCAAGCATTTGCCCTCGTGCTAACCACACCCAGGCACCTATTTCCCGCTGGTCCTGTCCCTCCCCTTTCCAGTGGTGCCACGTGCCACGAGGTGTCACGAGGTTACGCCACCTTCAGCAGTGTTTTGTGTTTCAAAGAAACTCCCAACAGTGGGATCCTGCTAACAGCATCCCACCACGACAGTTGTGATACTGACTGCATGTTAACCCCCTTGTTCTGCTGACCACACCTCAACCACCCGTGTTCTACTGACGACACCTCTACCATCCGTGTTCTGCTGATGACACCTCAACCCCCTTGTTCTGCTGACCACACCTCAGCCACCCATGATCTGCTGACGACACCTTTACCATCCGTGTTCTGCTGATGACACCTCAACCCCCGTGTTCTGCTGACCACACCTTAACCACGCGTGTTCTGCTTACATGCCCTAACCGTCCGTGTTCTGCTGACCGCGCCTTAACCACCCGTGTTCTGCTTACATGCCCTAACCGTCCGTGTTCTGCTGACCACACCTTAACCAACCGTGATCTGCTGACCTTACCTGAACCCCCATGTTCTGCTGATCACGCTTTAACCCCCGTGTTCTGCCGACCACACCTTAACCCCCGTGCTCTGCTAACCACAACTTAAACCCGTGTTCTGCTAACCACACCTTAACCCCCGTATTCCGCTGACCACACCTTAAACCCCACGTTCTGCTGACCACGCTCTAACCGCCTGTGTTCTGCTAACCACACCCTAACCCCGTGTTTTGCTGACCACACCATAACCCTCCGCTTTCTGCTGGCCACAGATCACACACAGGCCTGACAGTTCCAGCATTGGTTTCCGGCTCTCCCCAACCCGCCAGCCGTGTTTTGCTTACGGCACCTGCAGCAATGATACTCTGCCGATATCACAGCAGAATTGATGTCCTGCTTACTGCACAAGGTGCCGGTAGTGTTCGCTGTCAACCACACAGTAGCAGAGCTCTGCTAATCTTACCCACGGTCATTACCTCGCCATCCCGCTGTCACCGGTATCCCGCTGCCCATACATAATCCGCAAGTCGCGGTGCGCCCCGCCGTACCCCTCACCCAGCTCGGCCCCACGCGATCACCCGCACCGTTAGGCGGTTGACACACCACGTGACCGCCGTGTGACCGGCCGCGTGGGTCGCAGGTGGGAAGAACAAGCGCGGAGCCCTGCCCGACACCAGCAGCCGGCTCTCGCTGACCGAGAAGTGGGAGAGCGCCGGCAGCAGGCGGGTGTCCGCCGTCAGTCGGCGGCGCGCCTCCTCCATCCCCGAGGGCGTGCTCTTCGACGGCCCTCTGCCCGCGCTCGACTTGCACTCGCTGCACGAGGACGAGGGGGAGGCCACAGCCGCGCCTGACTGCACGCAACACATGTGAGGGCCGCGCGCCGGGCTGCGCGGCAGGGACGGCGGCGCCGCTGTCGGCGCGGCGGGAGGTGGACAGTGGCGGTGGAGAGCAGCGCGTGGACTGTTTGTGGGGAGCGGGGTCCATGAGGAAGCGTGCACATGCCGAGCGCTGGCCTCAGCAGTGCGGCGTCGGGGTGCCCAGTGCCTGTGGGCTGGTCCCAGCTGAGTGCTCTGAGCGCTGGCTCAGTCGGCGGCGATGCCGCGTGCTACCTCAGCGCCCCGATGCTCGTCCCAGCGACCGCGCGCCCGCGCGCACCCGGACCGTGGTGCGCGCGGCCCGGGCGCGCGAGGTGCGCGAGCGGCGCCGCTGCCGGCGATGCGCGGCGCCGTCCGGTCGGACGGCCGCAGGGCCCCACAGCCGGGACTTCCGCCACTCGACGCGTGTCGGCTGCGCCAAGAGTGCTGTCAACATGGTGCGCGCATTGCGCCGGCTGGCAGCTGATATAGCGAACCGGCTGACCCCGCCGTCGTGCGTTGGAATTTCAGCGTTATCGGTCGACCACGGGCCCTCGCGCCGCGCCTCGTGAAAGGAATCGTCCCATCAGGTGACCTCCGGAGGTCATACGACTATTTTTTATTAATAAAGCTCGCCTTGCTATTGACCTTTGTGCTGGTCGAGGTCAAGAGGACGCTGATCATCGGTTGGGCCACGACATTACAACGCTGTCTGGCGCCGCGGGTCGAGTGGGTCACGTCTAGCGTTGCCGCGGGCCGGCTCTGTGCAGCTGAGCCATCTTACCGCGGTGATGAAAAGAAACGAGTTGTCTTGCCGAAAATATATGGGGCTCACTATCCCGGGAGTTCACTATCCCGAAGTTCACTAACACCTATTGACGAACATGTCAGGTCATCATTAGACTCTGTTATGAGTATGATCGACGTTTCGAGGTGGTGACCTTGATCACAAGTGGTCAAGGTTGTGCAAAAAGTCGGATACGATGCTAGGACACATGAAGGAGACCACTGAAAAACGCCTCCAGAGACAGCAGCGCGTCCACATGCAAGAACTGACCAACCATATGCGAGCAGGAATACCGCCTGCCTTCAGATTCATCCGCTCGTGCGGGGTGGGTTCGAGTCACTTTAGGCGCTCGTTATTTGCCCTCGACAGGTATGGCCTGCGGCCGGTGGCGGCAGTCGCAGTAAAGGTCAGATGAGGTCAGCGGGCAGGGCGGACCGTGCCGAGCACTGCGGTACGTTCAGCTCTCGCCACCAAATTTTGTCGTTGACATGTAATTGCGTGATCAGATGGTACGGGTCAGAACTAACACAACAAGCATTGCTTAGCGTGGGTTCTGATCCCAGGAATCCATCCATTCAACAACAGGTTCGAATTCAATCTTTGAAAGAAAAAAACCGTTGAGAGGGGCGTGCGCAAGGGCTTAGCGTATACTATTTCTTTTAACACTTCCCCACGCATTCTTTAAGCCAAATTGAGAAAGTCGGATATCCAGTCATTCCGTCAGCCAGAGAAACAGTGCGTGGTATAACTTAACACCCAGAGACACCTGCTCACAGAGAGCATACGCGGCGTGGAAGACAAGCACATGAACGGAGCATGCCCAGTGAACGCCTTTAAACGGTAAATTTTAACGCCGGTTTAAAACAATGCGGCCTCAACATATTACCATCGCGGCACATCCGTGTTCTTCGTACCAGGCTAAACGCACAAACGCCAACGTGGAGCGTGATCCGAGTGGCTTGTAAGCTAAGATGCATTTAAGGCGAGTAGCGTGCTAGTTGTTGATTTGAACACTGATGTCCTGTAAGCAGCTGCCGCCTATCCTTGTACTCGGTATGGGTCATCTTAGCCTTCCCAGTCGCCCATCCGCGGTTCGGAGAGCCCTTAGGACAATGCCGTGTATCGGGCATTAGGGTATGGGAACCTGAATGATTGCACTGATGTCCCCGGTAGGTGTATTTAGGATCCGCGCGGATCGGGTGTTCGAGGCCGTTCCGCTAACCATTCCTGTTTCGAGTAGTTCTCCGCATAGTATTGTATGTTTTGAGTAAGGATTTAGACGTTTGAAGGGCTGATTATTTTAGTATGTTTCTGGGGTAGTCGGCAAAGATGAGAACTACTTTCCAACCTTCATTCCCTCAGATTTTTTATTATTTCTGTGTGATCGTACACTTACGTCAATCAATACTTTCTTGAAATGCCGAGCTTTTTCATTATATATCCTAATTTGATTAGGTTATAGGTAATAGACCATAGCTCTATATCGATAAAGCTAGACCAGATTAGAGTTCTGGATGTCTTTCTTTAGCTAGCATTTTCTGGTATATTCAATGTACATCATTTCTAGCTCTGGATGTCTTTCTTTAGCTAGCATTTCCTGGTATATTTAATGTACATCATTTCTAGCTCTGGATGTTTTTCTTTAGCTAGCATTTCCTGGTATATTTAATGTACATCATTTCTGCATAAGGACCGACAACGCCGAAACACCAGTGCAATGTCTTTCTTGCTTTCATCAGGGACTCTCACACGGCACACTGGGTAACCTAGCGCGAAGAAATACATCAGATCCAGCCCATAGATCCAGACCCAGACCTTGTGGGCGCCCTGCGCTACCGGCACTGGTGAAATCCAGCCTTCAGGCTGACCTGGTGACACCGACCGCGTGCCGTTCAACCAGCAGACCACAGCCAGCATATGTACCCATGCCGTACGGAGCGTGCCAGCCGTGACCAGTGGAATTTCATGCATTTTATAATTATTACGTCATCGACGCACGACGCCACGTCCCTTAGATGGAGCGCCAGCATCTGCATCGGCCATATTACTGCTCAGGGGTCATATCCACCCGGTCATCACGCCTGAACGGTGTACCCAAATGGGTCGAACCTTATTGCGCGGCTTCACCAAACACCGGCCGGTGGCAACGCGGCGAAGCGTCGGGCGCTGCGAAAGCGTGTCGAAGGCAGTATTGCGTAAGTCAAATGTTTTCCCTGTGAGCTGCGGGACTACGCACGAGGTATGAGCCGAGCTAGGTGTCGAAATTTCATATGAAATGTAACCGAAAAATTAGGGATTTGCCATTTTCTTACTGGAAGATGCCGGTTCTTGCAACCTTGCCGGCCACAATCCAGCCTGCTTCAATTTCTGTCAAATAACACTCAAGACACTTTCAGGATTATCGAACAGTGAACATGAATAGCTCCAAAGCAAGGAGAGCGGCCTTTCAAACCACAGTTAACCGTTTGAATGAACTGAGCCGGTGAAAGACTACATGCTTCTTAAAATCACATTCATTGTTTACTCTACATTGGAAGCGAGATTGCCTTTGAAAAGGTGCAAACCACGTTCCCTTTCAGTTCGTCGCGCTGTTGCAGCTCTCCTAGAAAACTACGTGGGACCTGCGGGTTGTATTTGTCCAACATCCTCCACGAATGGCATGACATGGTGAGAAGAGCATCCCCCAGCGGACTGGAAAAACAACTGTAAATGGTCCTATGAAACCAACAACTCTGTCCCTATCCAGCATCAAAAGCAGCGGGTCACATTCAAAAGGAACAGAACACTCCTACAACTTCTTCCGCTTCTTGCCCTTGGTGTAGCCCTCGGCTGCGTTTTTGGAGGTGAGCTTCTTGTGCCGCTTGATTTGTCGCCGGTTCATCCAGACGGGGTAGTTGCCGTGCTCGTTCCGCAGCGTGACCGGATGGAACTGGGGCTTCGCCTTGGTCACCTCCATGGCCTCCTCGCCGTCGGCCAGCGGCGCCGGCCGGCTGGCCGCCTTCCGGGCCTTCACTGCAGAGGGCAGGAACAGAGCGGCGTCATGGACCGGCCTGGTAGCGGGTCGCCGGCGGTGGTGAAGAGCCCCACCAACGGCGGTGAAAAGAGCCCCGCTAGCGGTGGTGAAGTGAAAAGAGCTCCGCCAGCAGTGGTGAAAAGAGCCCCGCCACCGGTGGTAAAGTAAAAAGAGCTCCGCCAGCAGTGGTAAAAAGGGCCCCGCCAGCGGTGGTAAAGTAAAAAGAGCTCCGCCAGCAGTGGCGAAAAGAGCCCCGCCAGCGGTGGTGAAAAGAGTCCGCCTTCACAGACGCGGACATTCCTAGGACGTGTAATCATACATGAGTTTCAAATAGCATTCTACAGAGCTGGTGCTGTGAATGCTATTATCGTTCAACAATAATAATTCTATCCGTGAACGTGTCGATTTTGTCCAGGAAACCGCGCCCTTGTGGGCGTAACAAGCAGATTTGTGGTGCATTTTGTGGAAAAATGCGGTTCTTCAGGTGTTTTGAAAATGTTCACGGACCCTGCCCGCTTTAAAGGCAATGTGAACGGGGTCGGGCACCAAGGTACCTTCGCAGAGGACACCAACGGCATAGTGGCGGAAAAACAAAGGAAGAAACCAATTAAACAATAACGCACGGACTCGTGCCATGACCCCGCAATGCAATGAGTCAAGTCAAAGCAAATGGTATGCAACGCTTCGAACATTCATAGGAGGAAATCACAGGGAAATCGACACATACGCTAGAGTGGCCTGTATAAACGTCGCATGGTTATATCATCCATGAGTGCATCGAAGCAAGCTCACCAATAGCACGCGTCCTTACGTCGTTTAGGAAGGTGCGTTACAAGACCCAGGTATTTTACGACGATGACTTATGCAATGAACCAGAACATGGCGTGGATGAACTCCTTCAAGCCTGCTTCCAATGTGCGTATTTTACGAGCATCATGCGGCCAATGAACATGGCGTGGGTTAGAATATCAAAAGCTTACTTGACGGTTCCATAAAATCACGATACGCAAGAGGAAGAAAAATGCCTCAAATAGCTCAATCCCTCATCTGAACAACACTCCATCATTAGCCCCGCACGGACGATCTGAGGACGATCGCGGCCCCCCAGCCGGCCCTCTTACAGGTTTCGGCGTCGGTCATCACTGCCTCGGTGGTGCCGTCCACGTCCTCTCCCGCCGCGCGCAGCATGTCCTTCAGCCTCTTGACTTCCTTCACTTTGAACTTCTCCTTTCTCTCGCGCTTCAGCTTCTGCTTCCGTTTACTCCGCATGCTCTTCCCCATGGTGATTTAAAAAGTGGGGCTGTGTCTGAAACATGAACACATTTCAAGATGACAGTCTGCATTCTGTTATGAGGAAGTACACAAAAAATCCAGTTTGCTGGCCATGAGCCAACAGTCAACAACTTCTTCATGCTATTTTCACAAGCAAATGCCAGCTTCAGAATGCTGCTGAGCACATAGCTGCCATTTGTACAGAAGGTGCAGCAGTGGCTGCAGAGCAATGGGGAAACATTACTGGATCAAATGATGATGACTTTGATTTTCTACAGCACTTTGAGTGCTGAGGCCATTTCACATTTAATGGATTGAAAGGTGATATACCAACATGGTGCAAAATCGGCCAGGTGCTGCACAGCAGCATTCCAAAATACAGGTAAACATGACCATGGATGGCATATGTACACAGTACCCAGAGGCAGGCCAGTATCCCCTGTCAGCAGCAAAATATGATCTGATGCAAAGACAGTATGATGTATAGATGGTGACCCAAATGTTGCAGAGACCACAGCAACATGTCTCGCAGGTAGCAAAGCAGCCTGTTTCCATGGCATGCATATCATGCAAACCATTAAAACATGTTTCACAGGCAACACCTCGTATGTCATAGAAACCATGTTGACACACTCCACTTATGAGGATCAGTATATGCCTTGCACAAGTCAATGTACATAACTCACATATTCTAAAAGGAGAAAAGGAGTGTTCTGTATAACTGGTAAGTCCCTTTGCTCTCAATGTTTACAGTGATAGGGCCCCCCTAAGAAAATCACTGTTCATGTCAATGTCATACATTTTAGAGCATTTTCCTAATTCTTTAGCTTTTCCAGGCCTTTTTTTGGTTACTATCAAAATATATACCCTGCATCAGAGTAAAATTGTTTATGCAAAGTAACTAATTTAGACCACATAACACAGGCATTAATTAGAGGACAACAAAATTGTGTTATCTTATCCTTTAAATGATATAATTTTCAACTCACTGATGAGCTACTTGGAAGCCACCAATGCCCAAACATTTTCAGGATGGTATACACTGCACTAATTGTGTGACATGATAAAAGTATGATAATTATTGAGTTAAACATGTTATTACAAAAACAAATACCTCCTAGAAAACTTGTGAGGAAAACCACTGTCATTGCAAGAGCAGGCACATGAGTGCTACATATGGTCACTGTCCAACAGCCCATGCTTGACTGGTGCATTAGCACACATTTCCTGTTGTTGACATCAGGCAAGGAATAATGAGTCACTCTGAACAAATAATTAACTAATGCAGATAAGATAATGTCAAAGTCAAATAATTTCTTACCTTCTAATGAAACTGCAAACAAATATATCCATCACAGTGGACTCACTCTCTTCCTTGATGTGTGCTGAGCCGGAGCAGACTTATGATGAACTCGGGCCAGGCCAAATTGTAATGAATTTTCAACATAAATTTACCTGTAAATGCTTGGGAAGTATGTTTTCTTAAAATTACCTAACAACACAATTCACTGAAACATTAGGTCAGTGTGTGCGGAGGCTGATGGCTGTCATGCTCAGTGGTGCCTGCACACCAAGCTTCAACACTCAGAATTATGGATTGCACGCACTGAAATTTTTGCTGTTGTATCGTTGCCACACCGGACAAGACTGGCGCAACACGCCTACTCTTGCAGTCTGGTCTACCAATACAGTGTGTAGTGCTCCCTTCAAACCGCAATAACACTTGATGACTCGTTTCTCACCCAAACTTGTTTCTTTTCCGCATCTGGCGTAAAAAATACACATAGAAACTTACCTGGCAATGGTGCAACTGTTAATGAAGTTCTAGATGGTTGATTTTGAGGGGACCAGACCCCCTCAGTCAAACCCCTAAGGTCTCGGAAACTTAAAGGACAAGCTCACGTGGTTCTGTAGACGATAAGCTGCGCATGATGACCTTGGGTGTCAATAGTCCTAACTGGGATTAAAGTACTGTAAAAAAGAATTGCGCAAACTTCACCAATATAGGTTCAGGACGCTGTTCCCGATGCAGTTCTCTTAAGTTTTCACCTTAGCCTTTCACCATGTTTGTCCGACATGCGATCCAGCAATTTTCCTATGCATGTATGACAACAGGAATGTCCATTACAAGAGAACAAATGTTATCAAAAAGCTGCACTTGGCTTATGTCAGACCACGCCTAGAGTATTGTGTACGGGTTTGGTTCTCATGATTCCAAAAAGGAAGCTTCAGCAGGTAGGCTGGAAAGAGTGCAGCGAAAAGCAACTACGATGATAAATGGGACTCGCAACTTAGAATATAAGGATGCGCTTAGGGCCTTGGATTTGTATTCACTGGAATATCGTTGACTTAGGGGGGATCTGATAGTTATTCAAGATTGTGAAGGAGATAGACAACGTAGATCTGCAAAGAGCATTGGAAATGAGGCCGAGACTTAGAGGAAATCAGCTTCAATAAGAAAAAGGCAGGAGTAGAACTTTGAAGAGGCAGGTATCACTTCGTCAAAGAGTAGTGAATCACTGGATTGAGGTGTCAAACGAAGTCGTCGAAAGTTCCTCTCCAGTGGCATTTAAAAGTCGTTTGGGCAAGTTGTTTCGGTCGAAGGATCTCATGTACGGCTAAATTCAGACAGATCAGGTGGTAAGATCAGAGTCGGAGTATGTTTGGAGCATGATGTTGGCCAAACTCGACAGGCCCTTATGTCTCTTTGTTGGCCTGATTTCTTTATGTGGCTGTGTGTTTCTTGATTTACTGAAAATCCTTGATGATATAATATGATCTCTGGACGAAATATAAAAAAACGCGCAGTCCGGAAGACGTCTTGTTCAGGACAGCTCAGAGCAGCGGACAGCTTTCCGCATCCACAAGGACTGCGGACCCACGTGGATCATGCCTTTATAGCCTTTGTGACAGTAACTATGTGTAGTTTTGACACTGATCCTAAAAGAAACATAGAAACATCTAGCAACAATCAAAGGGTTTGGCCCATGGGGTAGCTACGCTGGAGGTTGGGGAAAAAGTCTCCATTGGGGTGATGGCACAAAAATATTGAGAACGACCTAAACTGAACATGGCATCTTTGAACGGAGACGAGTGATAATGTGCATCGTGTAGACAACATTAGAAGAAACAAGATTACACTGACAAATTGAGTACATGTCCCTTCTGCTCCCTTGCGGTTGCACACATGGTTCAGCCAACAAAGCTTTTGGGGCGCTTGTACGCATGTATACGATATTAAAAGCCTCTGCATTCATTCTAGTTGTTGTCCTTACAACTGGACTGCCTTGGGCTACCAGGACTGTCAGCGCGCCATGCAACGACATGATCCAAAACACCAATGCATGGGCATGGGGTCCGGTGTATCGATGCAAGTAGACGCGTGCCCGGACTCCGAACGTGGATCCAGGATACCATAGGCTTTTATGTTGATCGGATCCCGTGATCTTTTTGAGCTCCAGGCGCATGCCTGGATGTAGTGCGGCCCCGCATTTCCCAACGCTACATTCCTGCTTCGCCATACATGATATCATCCGAAGTCATTACGCAAATGACGACATTATGCCGAATTCTTCAAACCACACCGCTGGCATACCACTAGGAGAGTATTTTAAATGTATTTTTCAGCGAAACTTTCGATGCTTCACCAGCACATGAACATAAGGCTTTCATTTCCGGGGTGCTCCGAAGGCCGGCTCAAAAACTTCCAAGTATATGTCAGGCTCCACCAAACGAAAAAACGCGGTTAATGTCTCCAAGAACCTCAAGCACACATATCGCGCTGCTTGTTGAAATAAGAGGTCACCGATTGCTTTGAGAACACGTTTGGAAGCGCAGTATGAGCCAGAACGTTCCCAAAATAAGCAAATGTGTGTTCACAAGTGCGTTTGCAAATGTGATGTGCTTTAGCAGCACACAGCCGGAAGTGCAAAGCCAAGGCTGCATGAGCGCCAAATGACCGCCCAGACAATTTTTGTGATCAGCCAATCCAACACACGGGCAGCAAACATTCGACACAACCAAACCCATATTTGCAAGTTCATTCATTCCGTCCTTTCCATTTCGACGCCTCCAACGTACAACACCGATTCTCTCTCCCATTTATTTCGTGCATGAAGCAAAAGTGGTCTGGCAACCAGAGGAAACATGAATGGATGGCTCTCGGCTGGAGACAGTCGACAGTGGAACGACCACATCGCCCGCCACGCCCTCGCAGTGGCACGGGACGCGTCAGTGCCGCCCGGACGCTCAGCAGACGTCACGCGCGCGCGCGACGACAAGCGGCGTCCCCGGACCGCGGGCGCCGGGAGCGTGGCCCGAAGCCGGCCGCTGCAGCACCGGCTGGCCGCGGCGGCGACTCCCTCCGTGGCGCAGAGACGGCGGCACGCTACTCGCTGGAGCCCAGCTCCTTGGCCTTCTTGGTCGCCTCGTCCACGGCGGACATGACGGCAAACCTGCCGAACATGGCGGTCCACGTCACAGAAAACACGGACCCGGAGCAGAGATGCTGACCTCGCCACAAACACGGATCAGGAATACAGGTCACCACAAACAGGGCCACCGCCTCAGATGGGCATCACTACAAGCACAGATCTGGGGTAGCGCCACTGGCATCACCAGAACCAGGTGCCAGGGGCACATGGATTAACGTCACTTCAAACACGGGTCATGGAAACATCATGAAAACAGGGAACAGCGTAAAAGCAAGGCCCACAGACGCACGGGTCCAGTGAATACAGGGAACAGCGTTAGAACAAGGCCCAGACAGGGTCCACGTCGTCACGAGACGGGGACTCAGGGACCAATCGCCACCATACACAAAGACCAGGGACACTGCGTCAACATCACCACAAACAGGGCCCACGGAGCCAGGTACCAAAGGAAAACCGACCAAACGCACAACAGTCATCACCACAAAAACGGACCGCTATGAATGACTGCCGTGAAGGTACACCCAGGCGCCGCTTGAACGGCATTAATCAATGGGCCCACACCCGGCTCTGCGGCTCGTGGAGCGCACGTTCGACGTAGTCGGCTGGGATTTGACCGCAAACTGAGACCGTTAGCACGGTGACGTCCGCTCCTTCTCGTGCGTACCGCCAGACCGAGCGCCGCTCAGGTCCGCCAGGTGCCGCGCCTGGGGTGAGCACCTCCGAACGGACCACGTGATCGGCAGCGAGGATTGCGTGCGTGCGGCCCGGCTTCGGCCGCGCGCAGCCCCGGCGTGGCGGTTCAGACACCAGCCAAACCGTCATCACCACCAGAATCCCCCGGCTCGGGCTACTCACTCCATGCCGGCCTTGTGCAGGGCCATCATGCCGGCGATGGTGTTGCCGCCGGGCGCGGCCGCCTCGCGCCGCACCGTGGCCGGCGTCACGCCCTGCGTCAGGATCATGGCCGCCGTCCCCTGCGTCTGCAGACACACCAGCATAGTACACCGCCGCTCATACGCACCAGCGCCGCACACCGCAGCTCAGACACACCAGCGCCAAACACCGCTGCTCAGACACACCAGTGCTGTACACCACCGTTTCGACACACCAGCCTCGTACACTACCGCTCAGACACACCAGCGTCGTACACCGCCGTTCCGACACACCAGCCTCGTACACTACCGCTCAGACACACCAACGCTGTACACCGCCGTTCCGACACACCAGCCTCGTACACTACCGCTCGGACACACCAGCGAGGGGAGGGAGCGGCGAGAAGGTGAGGCATGAAACAACTCGCATTGGCTTCAACGGCATTGTCTACAGCAACTAGAATTGGGCAGCTAGCAATGCATCTTTACATGTATGATTTATCTCAAACATCTTGTGCATCATCACTTCACAGTCTTTTATGCTGCGTTTTAACCATTCGTGTTGACATTTCATGCTCTGGAATACGACAGCATGTTTACTTAAATTGCGCTAATCAACAGACACACAAAACAACAGAAAGGGGAGATAACAATGCCCCCCCCGCCCCCCCTCACACGCACACGCACACGCACACGCACACGCACACGCCCACGCCCACGCACAAAGTCCAGGCACAGAAATTAGATCCATACAGCGTAAATGTCCCGAACCTGATCTTTGTGGTCGCCCTGAGGTCCGATCTCGTGCGCAACCATCCGAACGGCTTCAGCCACCTGGATGGCTTCAGTCCCCTGACCCGAGGTCACCCGAGGTCACTCACCACCTGGGCGGCCATCTGGACGGCGTCCTCCCAGCGCACGCCGTGGTTGGCTGCGCCCGTGGCTAGGGCGTCGATGAAGGCAGCCACGTACGCCGGCCCGCTGCTGAAGGCGCCGCTGTGCACGTTCATGAGGTGCTCGTCCACCCGCTGACACAGCCCCAGCGCCGAGAACATCGTCTCCATGGTGAGAAGCCAGGTGTGCGGGAGGTCGGCCGGCGCGCTGTACACTGCCGGGGCACGCGTGTGTCAGAGGCTGTATTCCTGGTGCCCTGACTTAGGCGTACCACCGGAAAGGCGCCTGGTAGGCCGACCTGACCTCGGCCACACAACGATGTACCAGACGGTATACAGTCCGTGACAGAGGCTTGCGTCATTGGCCAGTTCCGTTGTCAGTGTTCAACAAGTCATCGTAAGCTAGAATCGGCATTGCGACTCAGGAAATCGAGATTTAGACCCGACACAACACAACACGAAGACGGTAAACGACCGGCGGCCACGCGTCTCGGACTCACCGCATACTCCCTCCCCGATGGCCACCGTTCTGGAGGGCACGCAGCGGATCACGTACACGGGCTCGTCCGGCATCACCTCCGAAAGCATCTGCCGGCGCCGGGGGCGGCGGGGCTGTCACGGGCCGCCACAGCCACACAGGCCACTCCCGCACGGATGGTGCAGAGGTGGCGGATGCTGGGACGGGACGGGCCGCGGTGGGCGCGGTACGTGGTCAGCGGTCTCTACGGCGCCATCGTTTTGGACGCCACGAAAGTCAGCCAACATATGACTATCGTTGGCCTTTTCGCAGACGAACGTCATTAGTCATTGACCACACTAAGGTCATCAGCGTTATCACCTTTGGGGTGAAAACCGGGCGAACGCAATATTCCTGCCGCAGAAATATGATCATGATAAAAATCGCCTACCACACAGCCTGCCAGCAACGCACGACCGCATCCTGCCGATGCCGAGGCCGGCAACTTCAGCCAGCGCCGGCGGCTACACTCTCGGCGGCGCCTCACCTGGGTCAGCTTCTCCTGCGAGACGCCGGAGATGGTGGAGATGAAGCAGCGCTCCACGTTGTCGCCGGGCGGCTCGAGGGCGGAGATGACCGCGTCCAGCTCGACCGGCGCCACGGCCAGGAACACCACGTCGCACTGGCGCACCAGCGCACCTGCCGCGCGCCGTCGCACGGCGTTACACACGCCGGCGTGGGATGTTACAGGCTCGCGCGCCTCGGGTGCGCAGCGCCAGCGTGTTGCGGACGCTGGCGCGCCATGTTGCGGACAGTGACACACCACAAGTGTCAGGCAGCACGCCTCACAAAAAGCATAGCACGTAACACGTATTTAAGATCTAGTTCAAACATTTTCACTGGCTGAATTTTGTAATTAGCGGCCACGCCAAGCGGTGTTTGTTGCGTAAGCCCTGACCCCACCATCCGATCGCGACATTCCGGTTTCACGGCAGAACTTTGTGTGGAAAGCTTAACGTGGCAGTGTTCGCCGCAGTGCGTCCGGCCCTGTGACCTCATTCCACCTTAAACACGACCGTTACCACTGCCCACAGACCGTCCCAGTCCGTGGCAAACAGCGAGCGCCTGAAGTGACTCGAACTCATCTCGCCACGAGTGGTTGAATCGGAGCGTAGGCGCTTGAGCCCACCGAGCTAACTGTACGGAGACTGGGCTATCGTGACCAATGCATCCTTCTGTTCGCTCACATCTTCAATGACAGATAACCCATTAAGCTGTGTGACAGAAACGCCGCCTGGTCCTCCAGCGATTCAGACAGGAGATGCAGACTCTGACCCGCCTGACAATGTGTAGGGAAGGGGGAGGAGGGGGCGGGAGGGGGTACTCAGGCCACTCACTGTTGTCGTGCATGGTCTTGCACTTCCAGCGTTTCCAAATGGTCTGGTTGCGGTCGGTGGGAGAGCTCACCATGATACAGCTGGACGACGTGAGACCTGCGGAGGCGTGACAGGTCACGGGTACGGTCACACGCAAGGTTTCCAGAACGACAGGTCAGAGTGCGAGATACACAGCGGCGTCACAACGTCAGGTCACCGTAGGTCACCTGCGGATGTAGGCATTACTGGTATGATGAGATCGAGCCGGGTCGGGTCGGGGGTCGGGGGTCGCGTCGCGCCGTCGTGTCGGTTCGGTTCGGTTCGGTTCGGTTCGGTTCGGTTCGGTTCGGTTCGGTTCGGTTCGGTTCTGTCCGGTCCGGTCCGGTCCGGTTGAGTTGGGATGGGATGGGATGGGATGGGATGGGATGGGATGGGATGGGATGGGATGGGTTGGGTTGGGTTGAGTTTAAGTTGGGTTTGGGTCGTGTCGGGTTGTGTCGCGTCTTGTCGTGTCATGTCGTGTCGGGCCGCATCGTGTCATGTCGTGTCATGTCGGGCCGCGCCGCGTCGTTTCGTCTCCAGCCCTCCCTCCGCAGCCCCCAGCTGACGCAGACCGCCCCAGCGCCGGCCGGCCTGCAGCGCCGCTCTGCCCGCGCCACCGCTTACCCTTGTTCATCATGCCGGTGGCGATGGCCTGCGCGATCTTGCCAGCGCCGATGAAGCCCACCTTCTGGCTGCCGAGCCCGATCGAGTAGGTGACCCGGTCAGTGTCCTGCCAGCGCGCCCACCGGTCAGCGGGCATCAGAGCAGGACGGCACGCGCGCCGGCCGGGTGCCGAACACCGGCCGGGCGACGGCGGATTGGAGTGGAGAGGCGCACGGCAATCTACAGCAGCCGCATTCGCCGAACTCGGGCTGAGGTGATTCAGTGCATATGCAGGCTCGATTGGAGTCGGGGCGATCGATACATGGCTCAGGGCATATGACCCAAGACAGACGCCAGGCGGATCGATTTTCGACCGGGACGACAGACACACAGCTGGGCTGGCGTTCGACTGAAACATGTTGAGTGCCAACGACGAGAGCAGGCTGCGAGGGGTGCAAGACTGGGCCGCGTCACACGAGCTTGGCCTGTGGATCCCGGACGTACGACACGGCCCCTCGCCACACAGTATAGCACTCCGGGACCGGGATGCCCTCTCGCCAACCCTGCACGCGACTACGAACGGCACGTGACGTGGGGCCGTAGAAGTCCGTGAGTTTGCGATCGCCACGACACGGCAATTACGACAGCGCCAACCAATCCAACAATCGCACTCTCTCTGATCCGCAGCCACGCTTGTGGTTGGCGCCAGTGCGGACCCCCGTCGATACCACGCGCAGCTACCCGCTACACCACCTATAAATACCGTTACCGCTGCCATCAGCCGCAACACAGCGCTTGAGCAAAACCTGAGTCACCACAGAAAGTTTCCAGCGCCTGGAATCGAACTTGCCTCACCCCGTATGAGACGTCGAGCTGCTGCTGGGCGTCCCAGGCGGAGCGGCCCCAGGTGCCGGCGGGGCGGGCGCCGGGCCGGCCGGTCGTCTGCGCCGGCGGCTCCACCATGGGCCGCCCCTCGCGGCGCATATGCTTGCGGCACCGGCCGTGGTCCATGAGCACCTTGAGCTGCGTGATGAGCGGACAGCCGCACTGGCGACACCAGGCCCGGTACGGGTTGCCTGGCACCATGGTCAGCCAGTCTGCCGGACGGCGGCGAGCGCGTCAGTGGCGCGCCGCGTCTTTCCGGCGCGAGACGCCTCGGCCTCGCTCACGGAAGAAGCGGAACTACGGTGGCCGTGTAGGAGCCAAGCGGGAATCCAGCTTGCGCCGGACACGAGGAGGTTTGAAGTGCTGCTGGCTGGGCTATTTCACTCTCTCGTGACCGGAGCCTGCTGGCGACGGTCGGGGATGGGGTCGCGCGGTCGGTGCCACAGGTCGACCCCAAGGCAACAGAAGGTAGCGATGATTCATGGGTACAACAGCCAGCTTAGAAAACGGTACCCATGGGGCTACACCTAACTTGATCACCAGCTGATAGGGGTGCCGGTTTGCCATGGGACAGCAAAACATTGGCTAGCACCTCAAATTGAATGAACAGCTTTCTGTGAGACAGTAATAGTACCTTCTAATACACTGTGGCCTTTCCATAGACACAACAGACTCACTTTTCAGGGCTGGATGGCTTTCCCATTGTTCTCTATACTTCTGTGGTTTTTTCGCATAGTTGGTTCGGGGAGTGTCCAGTTCAGTGGATGCGTCATTCTGGGAAGACTCTTCTTCCTCTGCTTTTGGATCCTCATGCTCAATCACAAAGTACTCCTCTTCAGTATCTAGTTTTGCAACCTTGGATGGGCGCTCTCTGCAAAATAACACCATTCACAGACTTATGACTTCCTGCCAAAAGACAACCATGCAATAGCACATCTACTTTCTAGTCTGGCTTTACCTTCAGTATTTCTGTGAATGCAGCAATGATGAGGGTAACAATTAATGTTGATGTGAACTAAATGCCAACCAAACTCCACACTATGCAGGATACTTTTGCCTTGTTTTCATGACCAAAAACAGGTAACAAAAAGTACAATGTTTTGAGATAGAAGCTTTACACTGTTTTTAAAAGCTCCCTGGCAATGACTGAATCATTTTTCATGAATCATAATGAATACTTTGCACAGCTGGACTGGCATCTGTAAATCTCATGTCATTAATAATGCACTCATCACATGCATCCTGCTATGGGTCACTGTTAGAGGTTCATTTTCAATGACATGAATGTATTATCTGGATCTAGGATAAATGGTGCTATCTAGAGAGCATGTGATGCATAATGCCAACCTGATATCAACTATCATCTGTAACATAATTTGCTACAGCATATAACATAGTTAATATGATAATAATATATCATAGCTAATGTGATGTCAATTTCCAGCTGTGGAATGATGCATTGCTAACATGTGATATCTCAGACATGCTTATTTTATCACATATGCCATATAATTATCTTAATAAGACTTGGCATGGCCACAGCTCCAAGACAGAACATGTACACTGCATGGGATAAGCTGTATAGGACAAAGCACTGGATATAATCATAGATATAATTTTAAAGTAGCTTGTCTTTTAAATAATACTGCAATGCTCCCGTACACACATTTCCCAGTGAACTTTAGTGAAGTGAGGTAACTGCAGTCCTTGCAGTCTCTCATTCACACAACTTGTTACACTAACAAATTAAAAATGACCATGCTCTTAAATAATTGCATCATTTTGTCTGCCAAATTCAAAACACTACAAAAACTGTATGTATATATAGTGATGCTGATGGTCCCATGCTGATGATGGACCAGTCTGTAAACCATGGCAGATCTTAACAATATCTTGCTATGAAAAAGATGAGGCACAACTACAAAAGTTGGTCAGTCCACCCAAATCTTCTGGTAGAAATTACTCCATGGGATGTTAAGGCACCATAATTCCCTTCCTCACACAAAACTGGCAAAAACTCTGAAAATGACAAAACCTGGTCACATATCATGTTTTGGGGTAAGAGATGTCAACAAAACCTGCTCCACATGGGGAAACCCTACTATTTTACTTGGGGCAGGATCTTGCATGTTCCAACATATTGTTGGAATGTTTGTCACGGTTTGTACGCTGGATGATGTACATGACATGTTTGATCTGATGATTTGCTGATCCAATGTACAGAGACTTGACTGCTAAGTTAACTGCCTTTGTGCACAATGACTTCCGAAATGTTACCTCAGTTCAGCAAAAGTCCACCAACTGCTAGCGGTTTATAGTTCAAAATTATACTAACCCAGATGCAATAATCTGCACGTGAGAATCCCGCTTGACTTCAACAGCAGATACAGCAGGATCGCCTTCCTCTTGGACGATCTCCTCTTGCACAGTCTCTGTGTCAATGGCTTCCGTCACAACTTCAGAAGGCCGCGTCTGGTCCTTTTCCTTAGACCTCGCGTGACGGGTCTGAATAATACTTGCAGACATCACACTTGAACAGGGGGAAAACAACCGGTGAGAATTTCGGCAATGCACCCCGGCAGATAGAACAGAAAAACCTTCAAAATGGAGGAGAGGTGGAAAGGGAAAATCATGGATGTGGTATCCATATTAATGCTTAAATACGGTTAGGTTTCAGTTTGATGATGTCATGAAAATATATAAGAATGAAAAGTACAAGGTTTATCCAATTGCTCTAAAAAAAGATTAAAATATTTGATTATTTAATAATGAATATCAATAATGCTTTTTTCTCTGAAAAACTGCAACTTATTTCTTATTACGTCATCAAATGATCAAAGTGAGTTTGCGCCAAAACCGTGAGTAGACACCAGCATTGCTCGCCGTTGCGCAGTGTTTTGTTTGCCTTCTGTATGCAATACGGTACGTGCGTGGTAGTTTCCTGTGCAATCAAGTATTACAATCATAGTTGTAGCAATACCATTGCATGCCAACGTTCTGATTGCCAATCACTGCGGTCCATGTCGCCATTCGCTTATCCGTGCTGTCCATTGCCTGCGATCTTTAGTGCCCTCTGACGGCTGTTATCAAAGTTAGATTTCGTGCATTCGCTACTAGGGTCCGGCTGGTAATAAACTTTATATCAAATGGCCAAATGAAGCTGGGGGGTGGCTCGCCGCTACGCCGGAAGTATCCCGAAGTCGTCCGCAGTTTGATCACAAAGGGGCGCCGGTGTGTCTTTGCTACCCATCCTACAGAAGTTTACATGTTCTTAACAGTGCTGATAACAGACACTGCCGGCTCTCGCGCATGGTGCGGACGTCCCGCACGTTTGGTATTTGGGGATCACCAGGGGCATACGCAGGATTACATGATGGTGGAGGGGTGGGATAGTCCGGGCAAAAACTCGCATAGAAAAAGTCTGGCGAGAAAACTCGACAAGGATGGAAGTCGACTGGAATGAATGTCGAATCGGAGAAAAATCGGAAAACATTAAGTCCAAACGATTGAAGTCAACAAGAAAAAGTCGAAGCAAAAAAGGCTGGCGCACAGAAAATTTGACGGGGTTAAAAGTGAAAATATTTAAGAGGTCGAATCCAAAAGAATCCAAGGGCAGCACATCGATGGGCTTTAAAAGGAGTGTGCAACCTTTTGTACTTTTCGGTTGTTATTAGATAAGACGTGTCATATTTGATATCACCAGTTTGCTCGAAACCCCTCTAAATATCTGAGCGTTTCGATTTCAAGTAGGTGTTTCTGCAGGGAAAATATCATCAATCTCCCTGCTTACCACTTTGAAAGAAGCACATCTAAAGTGCTTTGCTGTTTCCAACGGATGTGTTCTGTTATGCTTGTAGCACATTAATTTGTCAAAATGCTTGTGTAATGAATACTACGAAAGCCTGAAACACTACTTGGAGAAATATGTATGCAGTCATAAGGCTATTATCCCGCGAATTTAAGGAAACTTAATACTATGACTTCGATTTATCTGTATGGTGCTTACCATAATGGCTCTTTTCGAAGTACACTTTAGTTTGGTGAATGGGAGTATCTCATGGTTCACAGTAACGAACTGGTTCAAATATCAGTCATAAATGCTCATTTATACTGCTGTCGTCATGACGACGGCCATTGTCATGATGACGATGGACGCGACAAGTTTCCAAGGAAGAACTGTGGTGCTCTTACAAAGCGTTGACAACGTAATTTGGACTCGAAAATAACTAAAATTTTCATCCTTACTACATCTTGATGGTGATTTAGGGGCACTGGGCAGTACACAGTGCTTTTTTAGACGTAACTGGTCCTGACTTCCGCCAGAGCACGTTTTTGAAATATGCCCTAAAGGTGGGACACTCTTTAACACGATTCGCGTGTGGGGTCAATTTGACTCTCCGCCGAAGGTTTTTCTGGTATGATTTTAGGACGGTGTGGCGTAGCCGCGCTAAATTTTGCATAGCTGTAGACAATTGAAAAGCGGATCGTTTGGTATCAAAAAGTTGGATGCGCCTTGTAAGGTGCTGACCTGCGACAGGTCAAAGTCAGGTCATGAACTCGGCAGACAATTTCCAGGGAATTCCTTAATCTCATGCAACAGCGGAGTGTTAGTGTGGTAAGCAGCTAGCGGATCTCCAAAATGCTATGCATTTGAGCCACGCAGCACGTCACTCCTGCTGGCCTCCACCAACGTGCACAGCTCGGTACCCTGCCCTTCAAGCTACGCGCCCCCTCGCTGTTTTTCCCTGCCCACCACTGCTGTCGCAAAAAAAAAAACGCTTCTTTTTCGCTGTACCTCGTCCCTTGCACCCACTTCGCCGCTTCCGCCGAGCACCAGATGAAGGTTTCCCTTCACACTCCCCCCTGATCTCCGATCACAAACTCAATCATCAGCTCACACTCTCCCCAGATCCTGCGCGAAAGCCGCAGAGTGGATCAACGCTCGTCGCACAAGTCGCAAACGCGTGGTCTGACCAGCCGGCGACTCCTCCTGGGCTCTCCGACGGGAGTGCCCTCTCTTTCCTCTTCCCTGTAAATCTCTCTGCTTCCTCGGGAGACCGCCCGCTGCCTCCTCCTGTATCTCGTCGCGGACTGCTCTGTCCGCCGCAGCCGGCGGCGCTTCGAGTTGGCCGTCGCTTCCCCGCCGTACCAGCCAGCAGCCTCAGTCGTCAGCGTCTTCATCGCCCACCTGAGTACTCGGTCCGGTCTCCTCAGCTGGCGTTACACGCGTCGGGGCGCCGCCCGCTCGCAAGTCACGCACGTGATGCGGCACCCTGTCCACTTCTACAGATTGAGGCGATACCACGCGGGTCACGGTTCCAGTCGCGCTAGGGGCTCGCTTTTGCGACTTGGGTGGTGAATCCACACCTGATCGCCGGCACTGAATCGACGGCGCCGTACCGGCGCTCACGTCGTCCTTAGGCGTGACGCTATATCAGTACACGGCGTCCAGCACGGGGCAGCTGGTGCGGGTCACTATCCGCTTCACCGTGCGGTGACAGAGCTCCACTACGCCGTTCCCGGATGGCTGATGCGGACTTCGGAGCCGCATTACCACGCCCCACCGCTCCGCAAAGTTTCCAAAAGCGTGGTTGTGGAAAACTGTCGCGTTATTGGTCAACAGTTCCGTCGGTACTCCTCTCCCACGGAACACCTGCTCCAACTGTTCGATGACGCTGGCACTGTCCTGCCTCCTCAGACGTCGCCACACAACGAACCTTGACGGTCCGCAATCAACGATCGTAAGATAATGCGCGGCGCCGACGTGAGTTATATCCATACTTAGTCGCCGCCAGTTGTCACTCACTGCCAGTTCGCCCCGCTCCCACCGTACGGGGCGGGTCGACGGATTGACACTGCTGACAGACCCGCACTAGATCGCGTACCACTCGCTTCGTCACACTCAGTCCGGCTCGGCGACAAAAGTACAGAGTGCGCTGTACACGCGGGTGCCCAGCGGCCTCGTAAACTTCGAAAATTTTCTCGTCGTTGACCCCGGCTGACCCGTCGTCGCCGACGACTACGTCGCCCGCAGCGGCGGTCGCCGGAACGCCTGTAGCGCCACCTGCGGTTCCCGTAGCGGCCGCACCAGCGTCAACACCGGGGCCGGCGTCGTCACCGCCGCCGCCGGCCGACATTCCCTCCGCGCTGGCCATGCCGGCCTCGGCGGCAGCGCCTGCGACCGAGGGACCTTTGGCACCGGCCGGCGCGTGTGCCTTCAGCCACTTTGCCGGTACTCTCGTGAGTGCGTCCGCTCTGTTGGCTGCGGACGGGACGGCCTGTACGCTCACTTGTAGACTGTTTTCCTCCGCCAGGGCTTTTAGCGTGCTTAGTCCTCGTCTGATAAGCATTTCTGACGCAGGTTTCGAGCGCAAGCGTGCCTTGCCGCTGAGATGATCCGTTATCCAGTGACACACAGTCCGGGAGTCCGTCACCGAACCCGAGGTGCGTCAAGCAGTAACGCACGCCCCGGATCACGACCGCTTGGTACGGCCACAGTGACTCGTCAACCCGGATCTGCAGGTATGCTCGGCGGAGGTCGATCAGCGCCGCAGCACCGCCGCGCCGCCGCCACTCTCGTAGCTTCTCCGCACACACGTCGGCCTCTGCGGTGTGCGCATCCACGTGAGAGTTCAGAGGGCGGAAGTCAGGCACAGGACGGACTTTGTCCTTGTTGCGGTTTACCACCGCCATAAGAGGAAGCGCACCCTTCACGGATCCGAGTTGTTTGTCGTCATAGGGCTGCAGCCAGCCCTTCTCGATCCACTGCTGGAGCTCCTCTTCATATTCCGCGCGAGACGCCGGAGGAACTCGATATTCTGTCACGTCGTTCCCTTGCAGTCCCTCCGGTTCGATCCCGTCGGCCCACTTCCACGCTACTGTCCACTGGCGCGTTTCCTGATCGTAACGCGCGCGAAAGTCTGCCGCTTCCACTTGCGCCGTGCCAGATGCCACGGCAGCACAGTCTGACTCGACAGCCGAACTGCGACCCCGCCGAAGAAGTAGTGACGCCACCCAACGCTTTGATCGCATCCATGCCCAACACCACACTAAATCCCAGAGGCCTGGCAGTTACCACCAAAGCGCTGACGTCAGCGCGCGCGCCACACTCGAACTCTACGCACGCTGGCTCGCTATCCGCGCATAGAAATCGGTTGCCGTTCACTGTGAGCACGCTAACGCGTTCCCTCCGCCAGTCTCGACACAACGAGGCGTGCGCGAGGCTACGGGAACAACCTGTGTCCACCAGCGCAATGCAGACGGATCCGTTAACGCGTGGTTGCCGAGTTGGGAGAACACCAACGCCGACCATAGAGAGAAGACTGGCGCCCACGCCTCCCCTCCTCCTCTGTTTCCCGGGCAGCGGGCCGCTACGTGACCTTGTCTGCACCTGAAGCAGATGATGTCGCGCTGGCGCCAGCGAGCTAGATGGCCGCCGCGCTTGCCGCAGCGAAAGCAGGATGCCGGCTGCTGGGCGCAGCCGCCGCCGCGCGCTCCTTGGCGTGAGCAGCCGACCCCATTGCTCGGTGCAGCTGCTGTGCCCGCCGTAGCCGCAGCGGCCGCCGCCGCCGCTGCCGACTCCTCTGCGGCCAGGGCGCGTGCCCGGCCC